AGTCTATGACAGGCTCATTGAACCATTCAGTCGGTGGCCATGGCGGTTGGCTCTGCTGCTAGAACGCCGTCTGCATCAAGATGACAGGGTGAGGATTGCAAGGGAATTTGTAGATGCTTCAGCTTGTTGTTTAGACGATGTTGCAACATTTGTGAGAACAAAGTTTACCACAACAGAGCAGTTGCTCAGTGGCATTGCAGGGATCTTTCTACAAGCATTGTTCTCTCAGAAAATAAGCAACATTGCTTGCGAAACTAACTTTGCCAGAGCGGGAACACAACATCGAGTCCAAGCTGGTAAAACAGCCAAGCTAGCATCAATGGGTGCCAAGCATGTACTGGCAGAAGTTACATCGCTGCATGAAAAGTGGAGACGACAGCAAGTAGGTTCCAGCAGGAACAACAGCCTGCAAGATGCCTATGCCGATGCCGATATCCAACATTTGCCGCCAATCGTTCAGAACCGATCACAATCAGCAGCACGTCAGTCTGCAGAAGGCGCAGAGCGAAGACCACAAAAGCGAAACGGTTGGATAGTATTTCTGCAAGATCAGTTCAATCACAACGTTCCCACTGCTGGAGAATGTCGAACTGATAACAGACAGCGTGTGTTTGCTTCTGCTCAGCTACAATGGAGTAGACTAAGCTCATCTGAGAAGGCAGAATATTCCAGACAAGCCAAAGCAATGAACATACTTTCCAAATCCGACAGCAACATGCAGCTTTTGTTGGAAGAAAACTCAACAGCAAACCAGCAGATTGCTAAAGTTGGGGCTGAAATTCTGCAGCCAGTGTCCAACATTTCAGTGCCTATTGTGGCTTCAGACAGTTCAGATTTGCAGCATGCAGGTGAGTCAGTTCAAATTCAATCATTTTCCTCGACTGGATCATGGGGCATCGGTGACTGCAACAATGGTATTGCTGAACATATTGTGGAAGCAACCATTGGGAACAGCCGCAAGATGCTTGATGAGTTTGTGTCAAGCTGGACAAGAACTGTTGGCGCACCTTGTGTTGAGACACCCTTTCCTGCTATCACACAGCAGCTACATCGCTGTTGCAAAAAAGCTATTCGCGAGAGGAAACTTGCAGATCAATCTGTCCAAAAGAAACTGAGCAGTCTGAAAAACCTTGTCCGTATGTGCAGAAAAAGGAGGCAACAACAATATCGAAAAAACCCGTTGTGGATTTGGAGGTTGTCACAAGCCAGAAGTGCTGTTGTTGTTTGACAAAGACACCCAACAACTGCAAGGGTGGCTGATTGCAAAGCTGAAACTCAACGAGCTAGGGTTGTTGCTTGTCTCATTGGATATTGACACCACCTCTGGCATTGCATCAATTGTCTTGAAGGCTGACCAGCACACTGGGAAACTCATGCCGCTCTACACAACAATGGAGGAGTTGGCTGTTTGGTCAGCATCCATTGTACAAAATCAGGAGAACTCAAGGCTGCAATGGCAGCTATCCTCAGAATACAAGGTGCTGACACTATTGCGGCTTCAGCTTGAAATACCATTTTCTCTGAATGAGTGGAGCGACTTAGACATTGTAATTTGTGACCCAGAGGAAACTGATGCTGATATGGGTGAACTTCGAACGTTGACCACTCACCTGCAGCAAGCCAAGCAGGGCTTACGTTCAAAGCCAAAGCCGCGACAGAGTTCACATCCAAGTTCAAAGGCAAAGGGTTCAAGTTCAACAGCGGTCCAACATGAGCGACAACATCAGGAGGAACCAGAAGCAGTGGCAGAATCCAACGATGCTAGTCTCAGATTTGACAAAGATGAAACCAAACAAATTGCAAAGAGTTATATAACACAAACAACAATGTTACTGTAACTTATAACTTGCAAGGCTGTGGCTGTTGCCGCACTGCGACCTGTTACTGTTACTGTTACTGTTACCATCGTTACCTGTTTGTTTCCACTTTGTATACTGGATCAAACAAAGAATACAGTAAACATGTTGTGTGAGGCCTAAGTATTTAAATCAATGATAAAAAATAATGACACCCACACACAACAAACATCTACGCCAACAACAATCATTCAATCTTAGAAGTTCAGTTGGTATTGATGAGTCGATGAGTTTCATTGTTGTTGCATCCCAAGATGTGTGTTGTAGTGAGTTGGGGTTGGCATGATGATGGTTCAATATGTATCCTGTATCCTGTATCTCAATTGTGGCTTGTATGGGGAACAAGCGATGCAGCTTGCCATACTATTCCTTCCTCATTCTAGTAAATAAACAACAATTGATAATGTTATATTTCTATTGTTTTGGTAGTTTGTGATCTTTCGGTCTATGTCAAGAGTCAATAGTCTATAGCCTATGTACCTGGAACATATTGTTACATTCATAAATCATGAAGAGTTTAACAGTTTAACAGAAGCTATTTGGCATGCTCTGTCTCAGGAAAGTGTGGAAGCTGCATTGTGCGATATATTTGGCAGAAGTGAGATCGGTGAACAGCTTGAGGAGTATAAGGGAACGAAAACCATCAAAAGAGCTTGTCATTTCTCTAATTAGAGTTCAATCACAAACATGTGCTGATGTTGAAACACAGTGTTTGTTTTTTTCAGGTTGTTGTTTTTTATATAATAGCTTAATTTATTAATGATGTTTTGCTTTTAGATTATGATGTCAGGATTTGTAAAACAACCACTAGCTAACGCTCACAACATGAGTCATGAGTGTGCTTTCTTAAGCTGGGAGGAGATAGAAGCTGAGTGGGTTGATGCCAGAGAAGCTGAAGTGCAACATCGAGAACAACAAGGAGTAGGAGCTGTGGCGGCAGCAGCTTCTTCTGCGCGAGGGGATGGGCAACGTTCCCAATTACATGCTGAGTGGACTGTCGACTCCAAAGGCGTTTTCTGGTTGTGCCATCCAAATGGGATCAAGACACGGTTAGGTAGGGTCACTGAGGTGTGGGTAGGCACTGCAAGACATTCGCTGTCCTTCTACTGCAGCCTGCACAGAAGTTGTGGGACTATGAAACGGGCCAAATGTTTGCCTTCAGATAAAGCCACTTTAAACGATCGGATAGCGTCATGGCTTTTGCAGGGCCAGGCTCAGCCAAATGGTGTGGAGCATATGAAGAGTTTTGATTCGGTAGTTCTGGAAGGCTAGAAGTTCGATGGGGTTGGAAGATCTAAGATCTACAAATCAACTTGTTGGACGCTGAATAGTAGTGTCAGTAGCTCAAGGAATGTGGAATCATGTGCAAAAAGCTGGAACTTATTGCGTAGTGAACTGAATTTGCAGATGTCAACAAACACATGTTTGGCAATGTCAGCAAGCACAGTCGCACTGGTCACTACATGTACAGGAATGTTTTGTTTGTTTCTAGTCTCTGACTCTGACTCTATCTATCACCATGACCATGTCACATGTCTATGCCAGTCTCTATGTCTAGTCTATAATCTATAGCCTATGGTCTAGTCTATGGTTTACAGGCCATTACTCCAGACTCTGGCCAGACTCTTCATCCTGAACTCCTTTGCCACACCCTGCTGAGAGTTCGATGTGTCTTTAGATGTTCATAGTTTTTGTTTTCTGAAATGACATTCTTTTTCTATCTCATTCCCACCACCATGGTGTACCTTTGCAGCCAACATCCAAGCAGTTGCAGCCATCATCCATCATTGCTTATCATTGCAGCCATCATCCATGCTATCATTGCAGCCGTCACCCAAGGGGGAGTGCTTCAGGTCATCCACACTAGCCTGTTGGTGGTATGCCGCTTCATATCAATGCATCCCTTCTATCATTGCAGCCATCATCCAAGGGGTATGCGGTATGCTTCAGGTCATCCGTGCTAGTGCTAATGCCTTATACTGCAGCCATCATCCATGCTATCATTCCAGCCCTGTGCTTAAGGTCATCTATGCTAGCGCGTTTCATTGGTGGTGTGCCTCATAGCATATCATTGCAGCCATCATGTATGCTGGCTATCATTGTTTTATATCATTGCAGCCATCATTGCAGCCAACATTCAAGCGGTGCTTCAGGTCATCCATGCTAGTGCGTTTCGCTGGCGGTGTGATTCATGTCATTGCAGCCATCACCCATGCTATCATTGCATCCATCATTCAGAATCATTCAGGTCATCCATGCTAGCGTGCTTTTCCTATCATCCAAGTGGTGTGCTTTCATTCGTTTTAGACTAGTGCAAATCATTGCAGCCATCATCTGTGGTCTGTCTTTCCAACGGTTGACTCAAAACATTCAAGTCAAGTTGTTCAGCTGTGTTTATGTGTATATGTGTGAAGCTTTGCACAACTATCATAACAAGGCTTTGGTGTTATGCCATGCAAAACAGCGCATGCCCCAAGACAAAGGCTTGAGTGAAGCTGAAGCAAAAACTATAACAATGACACATTGGTTGAACATAATGCAATCATCAAATCAACGCGTTGCGTCTCGTTTTGGACAAGACAAGAAGACAACACATTGAAACACAAGGACAATGACAGGCCCAAGTACACAACATTGACAAGTGACCACCCACAGCGCAACTGAACAAGTAACATGTGTGGTTTTGTCAGTAGACATTTAAGACTGATCAGGAATATGTCACACTAATTTTTGTATGTTAATGAAATATGCACAAAATATTTATGCTTGTAGGGGAAATATGTAAATATTATTTATGCTCACAGGGGAAATATGTAAAATATTTGGTTAAGCTAGTATTTTATATATCTGTATTAGCCTATTAAAATATTTTACTTTATTACATTTATATTTACATATATACATATATACATAAATACATTTTGTACATAATTACATTTGTACATAAATACATTTTGTACATAATTCATATGTGTGTGTTTTTAATTTGCGCAGAAAAGAATTTTGTGCTGTGCGATGCTGTCAACTGTCAATTGGTGCAATGGTAGCCTGTTTTGTGGCTTCAACCACACATATTATCATCTGAGAAGGGAGTTAGGAATTGCGATCATGCCGGCACCTTCCATAGCGTCGGTAGCATCAGAGATGACAGCAAATGGTGTTGAAGCTCCTGCACCACCACCACACTGGCCAAAGGAGTATGTGATCAGGCGGTGCTGGATATGTTTGGTCCATTCGACTGAGAAAAGCCCTTATGATCAAGCAGGAGACGAATACCGCACATGGCAAGGCTTTATTGTCTGGGACCAGGGAACAGCCGAGTGCCCCAAAGGGAACATATGCCGTTTGTGTCGAACAGTGTGGAGTGTGGGCGAATGGAGTACAAAGTATTCCACCGTGGCAGCTCTTCGGGCTGCAAAACGCTCTGATCCAACCGTGCTTCACCCATTTCTGGCTGAGCGACAGGAATTGGTGAACATGAAAAGTGAACATCCTTCAGTTCGACTTCGTGTCAAGGGCATCTTAGCAGCAAAAGTCCAAGTGCAGATGTCACAGCTCAATCAATCGGGTCTTGAAGCGCCTCCAACATATTTTATGGAACTATGGCGCTATCGTGAGCTCTATGGTGAACCAGATGCATCGATCATTGTTGAGGAAACAACTGCATCTGGAGTGCTCTGGACTAAAGGGATGTTTTCATTTTTGTAATGTTTTGATTTTTTGATATTGCTATTATATTGATTCATACATCAGCTTTATCAGCTTTGTTCAACCACTCGCTAGCTTAGGTGAAGCAGCTGGGTGTCAATGTGGAGGATGAATCAATGAAAGGTATGCGCAAAAGGATTCGGCGGACGATCAAGGAAACCAGTCATCGAACAGATCTGCATGACGGTGAGATTGTGGTGAACAAGGAAGCTCCTCAGACCATCTTCAATGAGGCAACCAAGGCTTTGCACCAGGCGTCGGCAGCTTCATACACATCGATTACTTTCCAGGCTGGCATGGCGCCTGCGCCAATGAATGACAAGGACAGGGACTGATTGACAGAAGAAATAGGTTACCAGGTTGTCAATTGTATTGTATTGTATTGTGTTGTTGTGAAGTGTTTGTCATAGTTAGTTGTGATGTTGTTCCACTGGGTCATTGGGAGGATGTGGAATCTGCACCTGCTGGTGCTACTCCAGCAACTGGTGATGGCGCTGAAGAACAAGCTGGAGAAGATGATGATGAATGTGGAATTGCTTCTTTGATCAGTCTCTTTGCAGGAAAAGCACCAAAAGCAAAGGCAACAAAGCAAGTCAAGCCGCAAGCATCTTCTCCTGCGAAGCCCACCGTACCAAAGCGGGCATCTACTGCTACTTCAGTGCCGCCTGCCAAGAAGACCAAGGGCGCTGGCGCTGCTGCTCGTACGGCTCCTACGGCTGCTGCTGGCAAGGAAAACATTGCAGAGAATGCCAATGCTGCCAATGCTGCTGATGACGTTGAACAACAAGGTGAAGCTGAAGCTGCAGCTGCAGTTGAAGCTCAACCCATCAGGAAGCGGGGTCGCAAGCAGCCAGATCAAATGGAGACTGAGGACAAGAAAGCTTTGGAGGAACTTGAGAATGAGCTGGAGGAGAACCATTTCTTGGAGCCCACTTCGCCAGATGACTTCACCTTCTACACCAAGGTCCAGAAAGCTCTTTCAAAGCTGCATACCAAGTACTCCAACAAAATCAGGCAACTTCAGCGCCGACGAGGTGAGAACAATGCGACTCAGCGCTTGTTCGATAAGTTTGGCAGGAAGTTGAAGCTGGCCATTGACATTGTGAAGGCATTTGCTAGTCAGGATGGTGATTCATTGAATGAGCTGCTCACTGCAAACCCTGAAATCCCAATCAAGATGAACAATCTGGGATACATGCACCGGATCAAGTTGCTTGCATTCGCAGATTTGGCAGCTGGACGTTGGGATGCGATGGAGAAGAATACCTTCCCAATGTTGAAGAACTTGCATGCCTCCGGTGTAGACAAGGGTAACATGGCCAAGCTGATCATCACCACAATGTTTCAGCGTCTCTTGAAGGGCAAAGGATCCGTGGGAGTAGTTTCTGCAAAGACTTTGTCTTGCAGATCCGTTGACTTTGTGAGGGACTACATCAAAAAGATTCCACTTCTGGCTGAAGGCCTCTTGCCAGCTACTGATGTGCTTTTTGAAGATGCGGCTTTGATCCACGCATTGCTGGAAGCAGACTCTAAGCTTCCAGGGGAGGTTGCGAAGGCAGTTGCTTTGGCAAGGGCGACTACTGGGAAGTCAGCTGCGGCTGAGCATCCTTTGCTTGCTGTGATTGCTTCGCTTCCATGTGGGAAACAACTAGTTGACCTTGCAGGAGTTGCGGCTGAGAACCGCAAAGAGCTCTCTGACATGGATGCTGTTCAAGAAAAGCTCAACTCTTTGCCTGTGGGTGCTGACCTGATCACGCTAGACACAATCAATGAACTGCAAGCTACACAAACCAATGTTGCAGATGTTGATGCCAAATACAGAACACGGGCTGACTTGCGCACTGCTCGCAAGGAGTTGCTTGGCAAGATGCAAGACAAATTGTCAGAAGCGATGAATGCTCACATCAAGCTTGAGCTGTTGCCATTTACCGACAACATGACCAAGATCATTTCTGACACCTTGACAGCAGGAACCAGTACCTTTGCTTGCGATCTGCCTCCATCCTGGCCTATTCGCAAACTTGAGATCAACAGCGTTCCATTGAAGATGATCAACACCTACCATGACAGTATCGCTTTGATTGCAAAGAGCCTGAACAGCCTGAGTGTGGATGAAGCAGAAACCACTCAATCCACAATCTCAAACATTGCAAAGGAAGCAAAACTTCTCTGCACCAGGAACGATTCTGTTGGGGCAACTGTGCTCGGCGAGCCATGCAGGTTATCGCTACGCAAGTTCATTAGCACGGTGGACCAAGTCACTGCTGCGCACCTGAAACCTGTTGCCCAGAAGCACTTGGATGATTTGGCTGACCACTTCAGGCGATTCCTTCCCCTTGCAGCTGCCGACAGCAAAGCTGCTCTAGAAGATGAATCGCTGCAGAGCACCATCGCGATTGCATCTGCGCCCTGGATTGAGGTTGATGGTAGTATTTGGTTTGATATCTTTTGTCACATTGTCTATGGTAGTTGTTTCCCTTTTGTTGTTGTTTTGGTTTCACTTGTCTTTGAAGCCAGGTACTTCCACCTGTGGCATTTGCATTTGCAGACGCCAAGAACGTCTTGGACGCAGTCACGACCATTGCCATCTTGGCTGAAGGCTTTGCAGCTACCTACAACTTTTCCAAGGATGCTACCACTACTGATGTCAAGCCGTGTTTGAACCTTGCAAGTCACTTTGGCATTCAGAGTCCTCTGTTCAATTGTGATGGTGGCGCAGAAGATCCAATTGACGACAAGACCATGGAAACCATCATTGGTTTGGCAAATGCTGTCTTTGATGTGTTGCCAATGTCAGATGGTGAAGCCAAAGATGACTTTGGCAAGAAGTTTGTGGTTGTCATCAGGGGCATTACTTCGGTGTTGCGGGAAAGCTGCAACAACGCTGTGCGCCCTGCTTCCAATGCTGCGCAATCCTTGAGAAGGGAGCTAGCAGGGATGGCATTGCCTGCATGGGATGAAACCCTTGGTGGTGATGTAAAGCATGCTGACAAGACCTTCTTGGACCTGCTGAACACTTTGCAGCTCAACAAAAAAGTCACGCTAAAGGTCATCGAAACGATCAACCAATGTGCCAGCGTTGCGGGGAAATTGAGCATTCCAGCTAGTGCCATTCCAGGGTACACCGATGTTGCTCAGAGGCAGAAAGAGCTGCTGAGCCTTATGACTACCGGCACTTTGTTGAAAGTGCTGAACTCCAGTGAGAAAGACGAGGAAAAGAAAAAGAAGATCAATTCCATCATGCAGATTGTCAAGGATGAGTCTTTGAGCGTTTCACCAACGATCCAAGCAAGGGCAACTCAGATGTGACATGTGTCAATCTGTGTAGAGTAGATTTAGTAGCGAGTGTTAGACGATGCCAACATGCCACTGATGCCATTTTCCAGTAGTGTACTGAGGGGTGTCGCTACTGTCTGTGAATCCGACAAAAGCTTCAGGATTTCACAGGAGACATAAGGGTCATCATGTGTGCTTGAGTTGGGCACAAGTCTTCAAAACACAACAAGGAATGCAATGGTGCAATGCTAACTGGTGACTTAACTTAGCATTTTGTTCAGCCTGAAGTCTTGTTCCAGTTCCGTTTGTTAGGAGGAATGAAATCTTTTCCTTTGACTCATTGTCTGTGTTTAGTTACTTGGCTATCAGCCAGTGGGGTTGCATGAATGTGCAACCCAACAGAAACAGGGCACAGTTCGCTGAGCGCAGAAGAATAGAACGAGTTCAGTCTGAGTGTTGAGTCGGCAATGTGAACTTTTTAGAGTCTATCAAAGGCAGTGTGAATGGTTCACGGCTCTTTTCAAGACTCTTTTCATGTCTCTTCATCTTTCTATTCTCAAAGGCAGAGTGCCAAGCTGGTCTAAACCCAACGCCTGGACTTAGACTAGACAAGTCATGGTCAGGGGCCTCAAGCGACCGGCTGCAGCGCCGAAAGCAAAAGGGCGCCAAGCTAAAGCCAAAGCTTTAGCGCCGCCAACAGCGCGAACCTATGAGACAGACTCATCATCATGCACCCCGCCAGCTTCTCCAAGGGCGGCCGAGGCTGCTCCTGCTACTTCTTCAAGGCGAAAGCGGCTAGCGTTTGAATCCAGTGCGATGTTCAAGGAGAGTGCACTCCAAGACAGAAGCACCTATGCAAACATTCAGGCTAGCCTTCTGAAACACAAGCAGGAAGAACATGATGGTCATGATGATGGGGAATTGAATTCGACTGAGCCCAAGGGTGATGAAGCTCAGCATGAACTACATGATGATCAGCCGGAACCTGCTGCTGATGCACAGTCTGAGCCTGAGGAGTCCTTGAGCAGGGCATTGTCCATGGAAGTTGAACTTCACGAAGAAGCAGATCAATCGGCAGAACTTCAAACCACGCAGCCAGAACCAACAGCAGAACAATCGGTAGAACATTTGCAGCCACAGCTCATGATCCAACCAGCTGAATCAAAGGGCGATTCACAGGTACATGAGGAGGGAAATGTGGCTTTCGGAATTGCTGCGCCTGCAGACTCAACCCTGGTCATGACAAATGCCATGCCACAGGCCGCTGGGGTTGAGATGACAGAGCATGCAGCGAAGGAATCGACAACCCAAGTCGAAAATGAAGTTCAACCAAATGCTGATGCTGATACTGATATTGATGCTGCTGCTCCTGAGGTTGAGCTGGCATCAAAGGAGATCGAAAGTCAACCGAGTCAACCACCAAATGACCAGCCAGACGCTGAAGATCCCAAAGGTCAGCAAGAGTCTGAAGAGCAGGCTAGGGTTGCATCAGAATTATATAGTTTGTCATGTGGGCGGTTGAATGAATGTGTACAAGAGAATATCTTATGTATTTTTTGTTATAGTGAATGTATGTAGTGGCAAGTGATAATTTATTTTATATTGAATGAACTTGTGTTCGTCCAGGCTGGCGATCACAAGTCAGAGATCAGTGAATGGCCCGAAGTCATATTGAATCCTATTGGAGCAGACCCATTGGTTGTGCAGGCTGCTTCAGGGCTACTGCTGCAGCTGAAGTATGTAGTGTGTGCGGAGCAGCTTGCCAAGCGCATAGCAACTTGGCCTCGGGACTTCTTCATGGCATCGGCGTGTTCCGGGACTGGCGCTGCAGAGGAAGCAATCCACTATTTCTTTGCCGCGATCCAGGAAGACCCTGACCTTGCAGAGGCTGCTCTTGATCTACAGCTTCATGTCAAGTTCATGGTAGAATGCAAGAAGTTCAAACAACACTTTCTTCGCCGTGTTCACTCCCATTTCTTTGAGAACACCACCAAGCTGTGCCATTTGTTCAAGGATGTCACAACACCAAAGCTGACTTGCATAGAGCACAGCAAGAAGTTTGACTGTGACAGTGAAGTTTTTGGTGAGGCATCTGATCCCATTGATGTGTTTGTTTCCGGTTTCAGCTGCAAGAGCTTTAGCGGCATGAACACATCTATGAGTGCTTCAGCCCGACTTCTCTCGCAGCCGTCAGAAGAACAAAAAGAGAAGTCATGCAGCTATAGAACCTATCATGGAACACTATCGATCATCAATCGTGCACGTCCAAAGGTGGTTTTGATGGAGAACGTTGAGAACATCAACATGGGGGCAGCTTCATCTTTGCCAACAAATTTGGACATCGTCCTCAATGATTTGCGTGATCTGGGATATGAAGCAGAAGCGATCCGCTTGGAAACAACCAAGTGGCTAGCCTACATGTGTTCATACTATTCATTTTAAAACTAGACTGGACTATATAACATATGACTATAACTATATATAAATACAGACATAGACTGTAGACTATAGACATCTATAGACTCTGAAGTCTAGGAACATAAATTGTTTGTTCACCAACCCGAGGTTTGGTTTGCCACAGCGCCGTGTCAGATACTATTTCATCGCCATATTGAAGCAGGATGGCATGATGCCCACAGCTGATGCTCGCTTAAGGACTTCAATCAATGTCTTGAAGGAATTAGAGTTTGTGCTTCCTGGGATGGAGGACTTCTTGCTTGACAATGACCACCCGGACGTCATAGCTGAGTTGCAGAGGCGACAGAAAGATACCGAAGCCGCAGCCGGAGAGGGTGGAGGAGAGGATGATGACGAAGGCGTCACTGTCCCAGACACCACCACTAAGTGGCAGTCTGCGCACATGCAAGCTGCAGAAAAACTTGGTGTAGTTTGGCCTTTCCAAACGGTTCCTTCCTTTGAAGATGATGCTTGGTTCCAGACCTTGACTGCGCGTGAGCAGGAGTTGGTTTCCTTTGTCTACCTTTGCAATGAGAAGAAAGAAAAAGCAGCTGATCGTGTACTCTTTTTTGACGTTTCACAAACCATTTCACGAATCCCGAGTTCGACCACAGTAGTTCCAACACTGCTGCCACATTCCAAACTGTGGTCTGTACAGAAAGAGCGCCTTTTGATTGCGTCGGAATATTTGTCTTTGCAAGGGTTCAACTTTCCGCCAGTGAAATTGCAGGAGTTCTCGGCCAGTCAGTTGACTGACCTGGCAGGGAACGCATTTTCTGTTCCTGTATTTATGGCAGCGCTTGCTTCTACTTTGGCAATGCACCAATGTTCAGGTGATGAGCCAACGCCAGAAGATCCAAATGTACAGCAGACTTCCGACCAGGATCTTCACTTGCTGATGTTTAGTGGTTTCCTGGTTGCCCTGTATTTCCTGATTTGTTTTCTTGGGGTGCATCTTGTCGGTTCAACTTGGTTTGAGCCTTTGAGTGCACTGTTTTGGCTTTTGACTTCCTGCAGCGCTGGTTCAAGGTGATCAAGTCGGCCTGCTGCGGTATCGGACATACCTCTGCTGAGTTGCAGCAGCCAGTTCCTTGCGAATGGCTTCGGTGACTTCTTGCTGAAGGGTGCCTTCAATCCTTTTAGAGGAAGCTGGAGCTGGTAGCGGAGCAGTTGGAGTGCTAGTGGCCTGGTATTTGGCCCAAGGGTCGTTGTTGTTCATCCATGGATCCTGCCCCTCGGTTCTGGTAGTATTTGGCAGGGTGCTGCTGAGTCTTCTGTGCGACGATGATTTTTGGCTTCAGAACTTCAGAGCTTCAACCTCTACTTCGCGGATGGGTTGATCAGGACGTCGGATTGGAAGGCCTGCGTCACTCTGGCCGGTGGTTCTTCCTGGGCTCCAACTTGCCAAGACATGTGGAAATGTGAACCTCGTCCTGGCTGAAGAACCCTGCACCTCCAGTTCCATTCCTTCATGGCATTTTCCATGGTTTTCTTCTGAGTGCCATGGGGAACAGGTTGATACTTCGTAGATTTGCTCAATCTTGACCTCCTGAAAGTGTTGATGTGGCTTGAGCTCGGCCCAAGCCTTGGCCTCATCAGCTTTCTTGACCCGGATGCCATATCTGTTTCGATGCCTGGCAATGGAAAGGGCGTATGAACAGGTTCTGCTCATGTGCTCGACTTGTGTGAAGTCTGCCCTGTTGAGCCAGATGATGCAGAAATCAGGATGTGCAATCCGAAAGTCATCAGTTCTAGGATCGCAGTAGAGGCTGATGGGATTGTTCGAGACAAGAATCAACACCACTGCAGCAGGAACACGAACCTGAAAGGAGAACTGATCGGCCTCTTGTGGTGTCTTCTTGGCCCCAGTGGCAGCAGTGAAATGTCGGCCCCAAAGCTCTAAGGTCACCGCCTCATAGGTCTTGTCAACATCAGGGTGTGTCCTGGCACAGGCCGTACCGCCGTTCTTTCCATCGCAGTAGTTGAGCGGTTCAAACATCTTGAGAATCTCTCGAACCGGAGCTTCTGTGAATAGCTTCCAGTTACCCGGGTATTGATCTCTATAGCAGATGTACTTGATGATGGCTGTGGGCAAAACCGGTTGCTTGGAGATTGAGCCAGAGGTGGCTCTATCAATGCTGATGTCTCCTACGCTCAAAAGCGCTCCAAAAATCAGTACCTGCTCACCGGTGACAAGGTATTGCGCCGGGAACCTCATCTTAATCGCGCCGGATTGTGTCATGATGTCTGGAGCTGCAGGCTCTAATTCTAGCATCAGCAAACCAAGAGCATGTGGACTGATGGACTTCGGAGCTCGGAGAAATGCGGCTGCTTCTCCCAATGTGCAGATGGCCAGCCCACGCTGATCTGCTTCAACTTGTGCAAACTGTAGCTGTGGAACTGGGTCTCCATTGCCGTCTTTGAGCATCTTGGGATCAAGCACCAGCTGAGAAGGAACGAGCTTGTCGGCAAACACTTCGATGGAAGATGCTGGTGCACTTCGATCTTTCTCGATGTACTTCGATTTCTCTTCGTCAGAAAGGATGCGTAGTGCGATACCAGGCTTGCTTGCTGCACTTTTGAGAGCTGCCCAGGGATTGCGGTCCGCAAGGATCTTAGTCGCGGCAGGGACTCCAAGCCTTTGCAGGATGGTTTGAGCTCTTGCCGTTTTGGCATCGTCCGGTACACCTTTGTCATGGATCAGGGCGGCTAACTGGGCTTGGATATCAGGCCCCTCTCCGATCATTTGCCACGTCAGGGTAGGTGAAAGCAAAGTCTGCTGCGTGGAACATGTGCTGGAGTTCCACGTGTCCAAGACCTCTGCATGCAAACGAATGGCATCCTCTTCACAGAAGGTCTGGGTGCTGTCCACTAACTGTGTGATGTTGAGTACGGCAACGCAATGTGCACCAAAGCTCTGACCAATGCCTGCAGCCAAACGGATGTTGTATCTATGGCAATGGAGTGCTGTGCAACTAAAAGATCCATGTAGGAAGTGGCTTCCTCTTTGTGGGTGTCAAAGAGGGTCACCGAGAGATGCCCATCTGCCCCAAGCGAAGTAAAGGCGCTCCAATGAAAATCCTCCCACAGAATGCCAAAACGGCGATCACTTGTCTGGCCTCCTTGTTCCCATCGAGCTTGGATGGGTTGCCGGGCTGCATGTGGCCAAGTTTCTGTGGTGTCTACAATCCATCTGGCTGTCCACAAGAAGGTGTGTGGAAGACTCTTCAGCTCGAAGAGGTAAAATGAAAGACTCAATTTCTGCTTCATACCATCCTTGAAGCTCTTGGTCGGCACCCTGAGGAGGTCCGTTGCCTTCAAGCTGAAAGTTCAATGGCCAGCATGGGAAAAATTAACCAGATCCGTGTGTCCAGTGGCACAACATCCCCCGTTTGGTTGACGATGATGGATGGCCGCTGGTCCTCAATTTAATCAAAGAACTCAAAAAGCATACTGCCTCGAGGCAGGAGCGCAATTCGGCAGTGTCCATGCACTTTGAACTGAAGAAGCAAACGTGCTGCTTGAAGATCAAGGCCAAGTAGTCAAATCCCAGAACAGTGTCCTGCTCGACGAAGGCTTGCACTCTGTGCCCCCATTCTAGATTCATACGTTCAGCACGAAGCAGGTCAATGACGGTGGAATTGTGATACACCCTGCAAGACCATGTAGGAGCGTCCTGCTGGTCCAAGCAAATGATGCTTGTGGGAGTCGTGCTGCGTGCTCGAGTCTGTTCCAAGATTCGCTCCTTGTACTCAGCCAGGATGAGATTTGGATCAATGGGCGCGATAGCGTCATCAATGTCCCATGACCCATAGCAGCTGGAGAGGCGCTGCTACCAAACCGATCAGACAAAGTGCTTCCTTCTGGTTCGATGGAAGTTGCAATTCAGGTGGAAGAGCCAGCAGGATCTTGAGTTCATCTGCATGCAAATACCTGGGCCTTGGATCATCAGGTGATAGTACGTAGCATCCCCTCACACCCTTAGTGACTTAGTGACCAAGCTTGCCATAGCAAATCCTTCAGGCCTACACCCACAAGGGCAACCTTGCAACGGTGAGCCGTATGAGTGCAAAATGGTGTTGCACTTGTCCTCGAGAGTCAACTGACGCTTGTCCTGACTAGCCGAGGATCTGCGTAGCATTCAATCTCAAGTTCACTCAAAAACTGCTCATGGATGCCAGTGCCAGGGTGCGAAGCTGGCAAAAACGATGGCGTTACATCACGAACAAGCTGCCTGCATGGGTCTAATCCCCAACCTGGGAGATTGTCTGGAACGTTTTGAACATCTGACACCACACAGTACCATCTCCTACGGTTCATTGGCCATTGCTGCCCGTGTTCAAGGCAACCAAAGCTTTCACACAGGTCCTGTAGCATGGTTCGAATCAGCTGGCTCTCTGCCAGCCAGGGTCACACATTCAAGCATCAGCAACCTTGGTTTAAGGCACCTTACTGCAAAGATGAGGCCTTCAAATGCTCCAAATCTGGCATCTGCAAGCTCCGGACATTTGGCCCTGCCTTGAAAAAGGTTGGCAGGGGAAGCCTGCGATGATGCAAAATCCCTCCACCCCTGATGCCATCAGTGTGTCATGCAGCAGAGCGACAACTTTGGGGTCTCCAATGTCCCCTTGGATCGTGATTCCATGGGATTGGCTACGAAGGTTTTGGCATGCCAACGTTCCAAGGTGCTCATGGTGTCACTCACCGTACCTGAACCAGCGAAAATGTCCAGCATTTTGGTGATCAGAGGCCCATTCGGGGTGAAGACAGGAAAGCGCTTGCGTCCAAAGCATGAGGCGAGTCCAAAAGACACCAAGGCTCATAGCAAATGAAGTGCTCCATATCTTGCTCTAGGCCTAAGCACCTCCAAACAATGCCAGTCCCCACTTCCAGACATTCTGGAGGGTCTTTGCAGACCCTCTGCAGCTCGAAAGCGGGCATCAGGCTGGCGCTCAACCAACGTGGCGCAGAAAGGCCAAATCTGCCGCGCGCAGCCAAGCTCACTGGTAAGCTTGGGCCGATGGCTAGCCTTAAAAGAATTAAAAATAGAACAAATACAAAAAATACGATTGGAAAATACAAATTCACCAGTTGTCACGAAAGCTAGCGAAGCTAGCTGGAGTTACTCTTGCGATAGCAAGGTTTCTTTCGACCGGGTGCAAATCCTAACCCCTGATTTTTCAGGTCGAACCCCCCCCCCATATCTTTCACTCTCACACTCTCACTGCCTCTCTCTCTCTCATCTCTCTGTTCGCTCTCTCGCTCTCTCTCTCTCTCTCTCCTCTCTGTTTCTCGTCTTTCTGTCTCTCTTCTCTCTCTTCTCTCGCAGCAGGAGGATCCGGGCTAAGAGCCACATATAAAGGAGGAGCCGTACGACCTCCAACGTGAGATCCTTGAAGTGGAAGACGACGGACAGCAGATCGCACCTAAGACGACCGTTGGTCCGGGTTGAGGTGGTTGAAACTGTCTTCTAAAACCATTCAGTCTCCAAAGTCAGTGCTGACGTTGAAGCCCTGCTACCAAAGCCTATCTGGCTTCGAGATGTATTTGTAAATCGTCCTTGGCTTGCGATAGCAAGGTTTCTTTCTCAGGTCGAAGCCCCCCCCCCCTCATCACTCTCACTCTCACACTCTCACTGTCTCTCTCTCTCTCATCTCTCTCTCATCTCTCTGTTCTCTCTCTCTCTCTCTCCTCTCTGTTTCTCGTCTTTCTGTCTCTCTTCTCTCTCTTCTCTCGCAGGAGGATCACTCTCACTCTCACACTCTCACTGCTCACTCTCACACTCTCACTGTCTCTGTCTCTCTCTCTCTCTCATCTCTCTCTCATCTCTCTGTTCGCTCTCTCTCTCTCTCTCTCTCTCCTCTCTGTTTCTCGTCTTTCTGTCTCTCTTCTCTCTCTT